GGACCGTAATGCGGGTGCCTGAGGATTTGCGGTGTCGAATAGCATATGTCAATACATAGGGAGCAGGGGTTGTGACAGGATATGAATAATGTTAACCTCCTATTAATAACCCCCCCCCCCTTGATTGATTTGTCGCCCGGGGTAGGGGGGATTGATTATTGAGGGGGGTCGTCGTCGTAGTACAGTAGTACAGTATCACAATAATTAGTACAGTAGTACAATAGTACAGTATTATAGTACTACAATATAATGATAATAGCACAATAGTACAAAAGTACAGTATTGATACAATAGTACAGTAGTAGAGTAGTACAATACGAGTATTGTAGTAATATTTAGAGTAATTAAGTAGTAATTAATACAGTAGTAGTTGCACGTTATCGCGGCCGAGCAGCTTGGGCTCTCGGCAATTATCGCCCTCTTGCACTCTCACGCAGCCGCTCCTCTCGTCTCTAGATACGTATCCAGTATTGTTTCTCTATTTTTTGTTTATTTGTAATTATGAATTAAACTACATCTCTCTTAGAACTTGTCTAATTACACTCAATCCCCCAAGGCAATGGCCACCTTCACGACGACCTCTATGCCGGCTCTCTCTGAGATTGCAGAGGAGGGGCCTCTGTAAAATAAGTAATAAATAAACTCTAATTTCGGAATCCCCTGCAGGCGGGCTCTCAGGCCCCGGCCGACGATCTCTCGATGATGGGAGACGAGGAGGGTTCAGTGGGTTAAGGGGTGGTGCTCTGGTTTTGGGGGGTTTCTCTTGCCCTGCAGGGCGTCTCTACAGCAGCGGAGCCCGGCTCTGTTGCCGGAGTTCCTCTCGCGGACGCGGACCAGGCAGCTCTGGGAGAGCTTTTGGACTCTAAGTAAATGGGCTTTAGTATAATAAATCTCGAGGGTTTAAAGGGTTTTTCCCTGCAGGCTCTGGCCGGCCCTGCTCTCGGCGGAGGTGGCGGAGGCTCTGGCCCGGGGAACCCTCTCCCGCATGGCTCTGGACCGCCGGGCCCACCGGCACCCGGCTCTCCTCTCGGGGATGCAACTTGTCTGGAATTCTCTTCATTCCTTAATTAGTTATAGGGTTTAGGGGTTTAGGATATTGCTTGTATTCTCTCAACCTCAGGGATGGGGCTCTGATCCGCCGGTGCTTGGCTACTACACCGGAGCCCGTGTGGTGGGCCTCTCTCTGCTGGTGGTGCGCCTAGACCGTAATTACACCTTAATTAATTAAACCCGATTAAACCCTAATTAATGGTATTGAAACCTAAACCCCAAACCCTAAACCCAAACTCTCAGGAATATCTCTTCGATCCTGGTCACGTACCATCGCTCTGCCGATAGTCTCGGCGCTCTCCGCCGCAGCGGAGGACACACGCGTCTGACTCTGAGAAGGCCCTCTTCTTTCTTTAAGTATTTTTTTGGGAGGTTCGCTTTGTTTCTTAATGGGGGTTGAGTTTATTTAGTGATTCAGTATAGAATTAAGGGACTGTAAATCAGGTGGTTGGACGCCGAGCTCTCGCGCATGCACCCTGAGCCGCACCACACGGCGAACTCTTGGCAGGCGGTTTGTGTCTTCTCTAGATTTCGCAGCTTCTTTTCGTTTTCGTTGTGAATTAACAAAGATAGTAATTACTAGGGTTTAGGGTTTATTTATTAATTAATTATTCATTAATTAAGTTCTAATTACTAGTTCCCAAATCCTCTCAGGCATCATGGGAGCTTTGGGTGCAACTCTGGAGTGCATCTGGAAGCTCCTCCACGAACTCTCGGACGACTCTTAATTACAATGGAATTAACCCGAAACCCTTAATTAAACCCTAAACCCTAACCTTAGTTACTTACTAATCAAACCCTAAAGCCACTCCCAGGAGACGGCGCCAACTCCGGCGCACGTGAGCGAGATTCTCTCCTCTGTGAAATGGCTCTGGGAGGAGTTTCTCGACTTGAAATAATTAATTAATAAACCCCTAAGTAAGCCCTAAAACCCCACTTGAGCCCTGAACCCATAATTAACCCTTAAACCCCTAAACTCTAAACCCTAAGTAACGAATACCCTGGAGGTCCGGGCTCTGCTCTCCTCTCTCCAATGCACCGGAGTTTGGGGGTGTGCTTCAAGTGTGGTTTGCGAACCAAACCTCTATCGTCGTTGACCGCTGCCGCTACCTTGCTGAGTTTCTTGGTTGTTTAATTATAACATCATGTAATTATTTCTTTCCAATAATTAATTATATCTCAATAATGTAATGACAATGGGTTGTTTTAATTCTTAATTGAACATGGCAGGTTCTCTTGCTATCGGCAATTCAGCTGGCCTCTCATGCTCCGACGAGCCTCTCGGTTTAGTTAATAAAGGGTTCAGGGCTTAGTTAGGGGTTGTTAATTAAATAGTTAATTGAGGTTTGGGGGAAGATGGCTTATGTTTTGCTGCAGGTGTCCTTCCCTCTCTGGTTGGAACAACAAGCCCTCTCGGTGACCTGCTTCTCTGCCGACCGATGGGACCCTCTGCTGTGATCACCAACTTTTTTTTGCAACCTCTAGTTCTGAAACCCTGAACCACAAACACCCACCCTAAACCCTAAACCCTAAATTAATTCTCATCCGAGGCCTAGAGGACCCTCTCAGGGAGAAGATCTCTTTGATGCTCGGTTGTTTTAATTAATTAATTAAGCCTTTCAAAAACCTTATGTAATTAAACAACACCCCTAAACCCTAAAGGCCCTAAAGCCTAAAACCGGAAAACCCACAACCCCTGATTAATTAAACCTTGAACCCTTAACTAAACCCTAAATAACTAAACTCTGAAACCTCTAACTTGAAACCCCAAACCCTGAAATAAGCCCTCTGAAACCCTAAACCCCAAACTCTAAACTTACCCAAACCCTCAAACCCTAAACCCCAAACTCTATCCGAGGCATAGGGGTGGAGCCTCTATGCCTTGATTCTGGCGACGCTCGGCTCTGGTTTTAGGGTTTCGGGGTTTAGGGGTCAAGGGGTTCCAGGGTTTGGGGCGGTTTTAGGGTTTCGGGGTTTAGGGTGAAGGGGTTCCAGGGCTTGGGGTTCGTTGGGGGTATTCCTTAATTAAACCCTATGTACCTAATTAATTAAGGCTTAACTAAACCCTTCTTAAGTAATTAAACCAAAAACGTCAACACCCTAATTAACCCCAAACCTTAAACCGTGGCCCTACACACAAACTAGGCCGTACACCTTAATTCAACCCTAAACTCCCCAAACCCTCTTAATTAATTCATGCTCCGAGGAGCTCTTTGCTTTGGCTCTCGAGCAGCACTCTACGCTGCTCGACGATAATACTCATTATTATGTTATATTATATTATATGATATTATATTATATTATATTATATTATACTGTATTATTTATATATGTATATATATATATATATATCATGATTTCATGTATACTACTTAATTATACACATATGTTATATATGTATATGTATATATATATATATATATATATGTATATGTATGTATATATATATATATATTTATGTATATGTATATGTATATGTATATGTATATGTATATGTATTTACATATATGTATATATATATATATGTGTGTACATATTCATATATATATATATACATATCTATCTATCTATCTATATATATATATATAATGTTATACATATGCCCATCCCAGGCTTTGATGAGCCGGGCTCTTCAAGATCGAGAGCTCGCAGAAGCCGGCTTTTTTTAAAGTAACCCTAATTAAACCCTAAACGCTAAACCCTAAACCCTTACCTTAACTTCGAGCCTAAACCCTAGACTCTAAAACCTTAACACCTGAACTCTCAGGCAACCCAAAACCCTACTAAACCCCCGAAACCCTAAACCCTAACCCTTAAACCCTAAACCCTTACAGGCCTTAATTACCTTTACCTTCGAGCCTAAACCCTAGACTCTAGAACCCTAAAACCTCAACTCTCCAAAAAAGCCCGCTCTCTGCTGGAGCATCTCTCTGGAGCTGTTCAGCCGACTCTCAGCTTGGCTCTGCAAAAGAACTCACTCTTTTGTGCTTTGGGGTTTAGGGTTTATGTACGGTTTAATTAGTTTAGTTTCTAGCGCAAACACACACAAACACGCATGCTCTCTCTCTCTCGCTGTCTATGTTTCTCTCTCTCTCTCTCTCTCTGTTTTTAAAGTTGTGTTTTGCGGAGAACAGTCAGCCCGGGAGCTCTTTTGCTCTCAGCAACTTGGCCTCTTGCTTGGAAACATGGAGACTGTCTCTCCCACCGTCTCTGTGAACCAGTGCCTCCGTTCGCATTTCGCTTTGGCTCTTGTGTCTCTTTCAATAATCTTTTCTTTTTATTGCCGGACTCAGGTACGTTTCTCTTCTCTGCATCAGCAGATGCTTCTTGGAGCACGAGGAAGACGTCGCCTCTCTGATTGGAGAACTCTTGGGCCTGCCTCTGCATGATTGCCCTTGGTGCCTTGAGGACGGCATGAGGTTCTCTCCGGAGGTCTCTTGTTTCAGCTCTGAGAGGTGGACTCTTCAGGGATGGCTGATCCGACGCAGAGATCTCTCTGTTGGAGACCTTCTCTTCTTGGAGGGCCGTCGCTCTTGGCGGGTGCTGACCCAGGAGGATCTCGATGATCTGGGGAACTCTCTGCCTGGCAGTCAAACACACTCTGAAGCTTCTGAGCATGATGAGCACCACTCTGATCATGATGATTGGGAGATGTTAGTTCCTCTCCCTGCCTCGCCCGAAGCGGCCTGAACTGAACTCTCTCTCGCTTTCAGCAGAAACAGCCGGCTGCTCGCAGGGTCTCTGTCGCATGTTTGTTGAGCGGCCACTCTGAACAAGTCTTTTGAATAGCCAAGAACTTCTCTTGTGCATTCGCCGCAAGACTCTTTTGAGCAGCCACGCTGAAGAAGGCAGAACTGAAGCAGTGTTCTCTTTTCAACCTTAGCAGAAGCTCGTATCAGCCCCGCTCTGACCGTGTAAGTCCTTTAGAAAGGCATCGCCTCTCCATTGCAATGGCAATGGAGATCTCTTCGGAGGAGGAAGCGGCACCGGATGCCGTCGGCTCTTCCCTCGGTCTTGCAGGAGCTGTCGTTGCCTCTGAGTCCAGCTCTTCCAGCAGACAAGGCACGTTTGGTAAAGTGTCAGCAATGAACAATGATCCTGCTCTCCTTTCCCTGCTCCTTTGAAAGCCGAAGCTTTCGCAAGCAAGGACATGAAGGCATAGTTTCTGAGGCCCTTTAAATCTGCTGTTTCGGAGTCCCGTGGCTTTGGAAGCTAAAGCTTTCCCAATGCAGGGCTTGGCTTCTAAAGCTTGCTTTCCTTTTGAATCCAAGGCTTTCCCAATGCAGGGCTTGGCTTCTAAAGCTTGCTGTCCTTTTCCAGGCCTTTAAAGGCACCACCAGCACGGCCCTCCCCGGCGGGAGTTTATAATTGAGGGGGGTTTATAATTCAGGAGAACGGCTTTTGTTAGTACTCCATCAGGACGGATTGATTTTTGGCTCCGGGAAAAGGATTTTTATTAAGGAAGGCATGGTTTCTGGAAACCTCTATATCTGCGGTTTCGGAGTCCCGTGGCTTTGGAAGCTAAAGCTTTCCCAATGCAGGGCTTGTCTTCTAAAGCTTGCTTTCCTTTTGAATCCAAGGCTTTCCCAATGCAGGGCTTGGCTTCTAAAGCTTGCTTTCCTTTTAAAGGCACCACCAGAACGGCCCTCCCCGGCGGGAGTTTATAATTGAGGGGGGTTTATAATTCTGCAGAACGGCTTTTGTTAGTACTCCATCAGGACGGATTGATTTTTGGCTCCGGGAATAAGGAATTTTATTAAGGAAGGCATGGTTTCTGGAGCCCTCTATATCTGCGGTTTCGGAGTCCCGTGGCTTTGGAAGCTAAAGCTTTCCCAATGCAGGGCTTTGCAGGGCTCGGCTTCTAAAGCTTGCTGTCCTTTTAAAGGCACCACCAGAACGGCCCTCCCCGGCGGGAGTTCATAATTGAGGGGGGTTTATAATTCTGCAGAACGGCTTTTGTTAGTACTCCATCAGGACGGATTGATTTTTGGCTCCGGGAAAAGGATTTTTATTAAGGAAGGCATGGTTTCTGGAGCCCTCTATATCTGCGGTTTCGGAGTCCCGTGGCTTTGGAAGGTAAAGCTTTCCCAACGAAGGGCTTCGCTCAGTATATAGGCATACGAGGCTTCGCCCTTGCTTGCAAAGCTTGCTTTCCTCTGACTCATTCGGCATGTCATTGAATCAATGCTTTCTTTCCCTCGTCAGGCCTGCAAGCTTCTCTTCGGCGGTTCTTCCAGCCCTCTCACCCAGAAGCTCAGAAGCCAGTGCGGTTCCTTCCCGGCAAGCAGGGCGGTCGGCCCCTCTCTCGCGAGATGAAGCAGATCATCGCTCAAGTGGCTGAAAAGCAAGCTCTCGAACAGAAAGCTCTCGACGAAGCTTTGATAGCTCGAGAGAGCGAAGTGCAAAGCAAGAAGCGGTACTACGGAGGCCGCCCCAAAGGCAGGAGCTCTGGGAGAAGCGATCTCCCAGTTGCCGTGCGGGCAACTCTCGTGCAGGAGATGGAACTCGCTGTTGCAGGCGACCGCTTCTCTGACGAAACGGAGTTCTTCAGTTACTTCGCCAAGAAGTTCGCTCTGCCGAAGAAGCGAGTCAAGACTCTGTGGCTGCAGCGGAGCTTGGTCAAGAAGACCTCTCAAAAGAACAAACTCTCACGCAAACCCCACCGCTACACTGGTGCCAAGGGCACCAAGAGGTCGCATCTCAAGCGTTCGTACAGAGGCTTTCGTCTGCCAGGAGCGGGTCGGAAGCACTCTTTCCCCGACTTGGTGGACAAGGCTCGTGAGTGGTTCAACGAGATGCGCTCTTACGGGAACCAGGTGCTTCGAGTGGACCTCTACAACTACTACATCCACTTCATGGAGATGGACAAGATACGGGTGCAGGCGGATCTCTCTGATCCGAAGCTGCTGCAGCCAAAGCGGACGCCTCTGCAGGTGAGGCTCTCGGAGCTGGACAAGCAGCTGGCCTCTCAGAAGAAGAGCGACAAAGCCAAAGAGTCTCTGAAAGGTCGTCTCGAGAAGTGGTGCTCTGCAAGGAACTTGAGGCCTCACCTCGTCACCAAGCTCACGCCTCTCCAAGAGCAGTCGAGATGCCACTTGACGTGGCAATCTTTCGACAGGGCTCTCTGGCTTGCTGCCTGCTCTGACGAGGAGACTCTGGGGAAGCACGTCTCTAAGCCAAAGCAGTTCTTGGAACACAGAGCCTCTCTCGCGATCCTGTTCGCCGATCAAATTCCGCTCTGGATAAAGGCGGGTGCCGAGAGGTCTCTCTTCGCCGAGTGGGAGCGAAAACCCACCTCTCAGGCGGCTCTCCGGCAGGACTTGGCAGCTCTGCACGACAAGCAACTCTCCGGGCAGGCGGACGTGGACTCTGGTCTGGTTGTGCAGCACCCAGACTCTTCCGGAGATGCTCAGGGTCAGAGGCAACTCCGCTCACGCCAGGACCTCTCTGCAATGTTTTACTTGGGTCGTTTCTGTTATAATTCATAACCTTATTCCTGCCGGCAGGAGCCTCTCGCGGACCGCTTCCGCCTCACTTACGAAGCCCGGCAGGTCTTGTTGAACTACAACTCTCCGGGAACGCCGCCGACTGGCCTCTGTTACAAAGGTCTCATCATCATCAGCGGGCCTCATGCCAGACTCTCGAACATCTCTCAAGACGGCAAGTGGCTCTGCGATGAGACCTTTGAGTGGAGAGGGAACCTTGTCTCTCACAAGAAGGGCACCTCTGTTGGCAGGCTCATGGAGCCATGGAGAGCTCTGCGAGCCCAGAAGCCGCACCTCTTTGAGCACGTCTCTGTGATGATGCAACCGAGCTCTAATGCCGACAGCATCATACTCTCCTGGGTGGCCCAGGAACTCTCAGAGGCGTTTCCAGCTCTGCTGGTGCAGAGGGACTGCCTGGGAGCCTCTTTCACAGAGTCTGTCTCTGGTGCCCACTTCTTGGGGAACACGATCCAGACTCTGGTCGCTCCGAAGATGACGGCCTCTCTCCAGTTGACGGACACAGCCTCTCGCATGCACTGGTCTTTCTGTTTTTGTTTCGAGCTCTCAACTCCCAAACCCATTCTGAGGACTTCTCTCGCAGATTCAAGTCTCTGTGCCGCACCTCTATGGCGGAGAGGAGGTCTCTGGGCCAGAAGGCTCTGACAGAGAGCGGCAAATCCTCTGTCTGGGCTGCCTCTGTGGAGGACATCTGCGAGACCATCGTCTCTGCCCAGAAAGCCTGTGCCGAGGATGCCTCTGACTGGGTGCTCTCAGGGCTTCGGCGGAATGGCATGCTGGCCTACCGCCCTCTCGACGGCAAGCTCCAACCGGCGGAGCTCTCCACGCCCTCTTTCAAGGACCTGCCGCAGGGCTCTGCAAGACTGCGAAGCGAATGGCTGGAACCACGCTTTGGCTGGGCAGGATGGAATCCCCTCTGAACCAGACTGGTCTCTGATTCCTGGCACGGCTGCTGCCCAGGAGCTCTTGGACTGGGACGTCGCTCACGGCGACAAGAACTCTGCATCTCTTCTCAAATCAGCATAGCTGTATGTTCTTGAATTAATTAGTCAAGTAATTTTGTCAAACGTCCCCTAACCCGATTTTCGAAGCTCTGAACAAGATTCACCATCCAGGAGGAGGACTACTTCTGTGACATGGACTCTCTGCCACCAACTCTTCGGTGGAACTGCTTCGAGAGCGGCGTTCTCAAGCTCCCGCCAGCTCTCTTGCAGAAAGCCTGGAAGAGGGAAGCTTCTCTCGCGGTGGAGGAGAAAGCGAGAATCCTCGCAAAGAAAGCTGAGAGACAGCTCGTCTCTCAAGCCAAGCGGTCTGTCTCTGAGAAGTTCAAAGAGGCGATGCGGCTCAAGCTGAAGGACATCTCTCGCCAGCAAGCTCTCGCTCTCCACGTCCCTGAAGCAGGGAAGGCGAAAGCCAAAGCGAAGCCTGCCTCTGGGAAGGCCGGCTCTCTGACGAAGGCTCTGAAGAAGGGACTCAAGAAGAACTCTCTAAAGAAAGCTGCCGCTCTGTTGGCGGGCTCTCAGAAGAAGGTCCAGGAGCTGACCTCTGCACCAGAGCCTCCGAAGACTCTGCAAGGCCCTCTCTTCGGCAAGCAGGTCCGCATCGTGGCGGAGCTCTGGCCCTCTCACCTTGTGGGCCAGGAGGGCAAGGTCTCTTCGCACCTCTCTCAGAAGCTGACTCTGCCGAGCTTTGGTCTGGCCTGTGCAACTCTGAACCTCTCGGAGAAGGATGTGATGCCTCTCTCCGAGAGCTGGAAAAATTCTCTGGAGTGGCAGCCTCTGCGGCTCTCCAGACTCTTCAAGAAGGAGGTGCTCTTGAACTGTGGTCTCTGGTGCGAAGACGAGTCTTTCGTGCCGGAGCCCGTGGAGGTTACTCTTGCCAAGAAGCCGAAGATGCTCTTGGACCAGCAAATGAATGCTGCCTGGGCTCTCGTCCGCCACCACTTCGAGCAGAAAGGACCCTGCTCGTCTGTTTTGTAAGGACTCTGTCGTTGCATTTAGGACTCGTACTTAATGACTGTTTCTGACAGGAGAGAGTAGAGAGCCTCTCGGACGTGTTCTTCGTGGACGCCTTCCTCTCCAGCTTTCTCTTGCAACACGAGAAAAAGGAGTACCTGATCGCTCACCTACAGACGCAATGGCAGGAGCACAACCTCCTCTTCGTTCCGATCTACACACGGAAGCCAGACCACTGGACGCTGCTCGTCCTCCAGAAGGGCTCTGAGGGCGAACCGCCCAAAGCTCTCCTCGCCGACTCTCTGAAGAAAGACAAAGCTCCGACAGCATGTGCAAATGAGCTGAAGGGTCTCTTAGCCGACGTGGACAAGTCGCCTCTCACCGACTACCCGACGGTGACCCAGACCTCTGACGACTGCGGCTTCTTCTGTCTCGCCGTGATGGTGGAGTACCTCTCCCTCCGCCGTGGCGAAGGGCCCAAGCAGAGGGGCTCTCAGCACTCTCTAGTGGCGGATCTGAAGACCAAACTGTCGACCTTCACCTCTCAGCTGAAGGCCGAAGTCAAAAAGCTCTCGGACGAGAAGGAGGAATATCTCATGGACCAGGCCGTTCAACTCAAGAAGGCCTCTGACAAGGCGAAACTCTTGGCGAAAAAAGGCCCAGGCGGAGAAGGGCGAACTCTCGGCTTTGCAGAAGGCTGCTCTCAAGGTCCTGAAGGAAGGTGCTCCACCGGATGTCTCTGATTTGGGCAAAGAAGCCCTCGTGGACATCGAGCGGATCAAGACTCTCGGAGATCCAGGGGTGTGCTCTCGCTGTCACTGGCAGAGCGGCTGTGCCTCTTGCGATGTCTTTAAGTGCACTCGCTTCCACGTGCGAGAGCTCTGCCGCACTCTGGGCAAGAAGCCCCCAGCTTGGGCTCTCTGATCGCGAAATTTCTCTGCGCAAGATTGAAAATCGCAGTTGAAACTCTGCAGTTTCTTTCTCTCTGCAGACCTCAAGCCATCGCAGTAGCTGCAGTTTCTCTCTCTCTGCAGACCTCAAACCATCGCAGTAGCTGCAGTTTCTCTCTCTCTGCAGACCTCAAGCCATCGCAGTAGCTGCAGTTTCTCTCTCTCTGCAGACCTCAAGCCCTCGCAGTAGCTGCATTTTCTCTCTCTCTGCAGACCTCAAGCCATCGCAGTAGCTGCACTTTCTCTCTCTCTGCAGTCCTCAAGCTCTCGCAGTAGCTGCATTTTCTCTCTCTCTGCAGACCTCAAGCCATCGCAGTAGCTGCAGTTTCTCTCTCTCTGCAGTCCTCAAGCTCTCGCAGTAGCTGCAGTTTCTCTCCTTTTCTCTCTCTCACACAACAACACACAACAAGAAGTATCTAATTTCGGGGATTTTGGGCCGGAAGGTTTTGTAATTGAGGGGGGGTTTATAATTGAGTTCCGGGGGTGGGGTTTTGTAATTGAGGGGGGATTTATAAAAAGTAGGTTAACATTACTGAATTCATATGAACGGATTTACTGATACACTTAGGCAGGCCCTATAGACTCTCTAGACTGCATCCACCGAGCTTGTTGAAGAGGATCAGAGTGGCCCTGCGCTGTGGCATATCTTCGCAAAGCTCGAAGTGCGTGGGAAGCTCAGATGACGAGTACCTTCAAATATTGAGTTGAAGCGGTACCAGGAAAGTCCGCGAGTTTAGGATGGTGTAGGGCTTGAAGTAAGAATTACGTAATTGAATCTAAACAACCAAAGGTAGAGGGGTTGAAATATGGGATAATGCATTTAGGTTTGGAGGTTTAGGGCTATTGGACAGAGCCTTAAATCAGCAACCTTAAACTTTAAGCTGCATGCTCGAACCCAGCTTTGCCCTTGTCCTTTGTTTTGGCGATTTTCGCTTCGTGGACCAGGGATTCTAGGGCTTGGAGAAGGCATTCGGGTCAGGCTGTTGGTGCTTTTCAGCGCCTGGGGCTGGGATAATTCCAGCTTGAGTAAGGTCTCGGCATTGAGCTACCCTTTGTCACTTCGCGGGTTTGGAGGCCGTATAAAGCCTAAAGTTTGAACCCTAAACCATAAGGCTTGAACCCTAAACTCTAAACGATTAGCAGTCTGGAAGTCTGGTGGAAGGACCCTATAAGGCGATTTTGCCTCTGATATGCGTAGCCCTTACTTCTTACCAAGGACCTTCCCCAAAGCCGAAAGGTTCATGGTCATGTACCCAAGTAGTTTATACTTTGGCCTTAACGTACTCCCTATGGGTCATATTTGGGTGCATGGACCCTTAGGGAATGCCAGTTCGTTGTCCGCAGGAGGTGCAAAGTTTTTGGTTCTTGGGTTGAACAACACGTCTGGCGAATGTGAGTTTATGAATCTTCACAACTCAAACCATGCGAATTCTCAACTCCGCTGCCCTAACCCCTACCCCCAAGCCGAGAAGTCCTCTTTGTCCGCCTTTGTTGAGGCAGCTGCAGGTGAGCACACCCATGCAGAATGCCGTGCTTTACGCCACAGCCTCGTGTTTGGCCGTTGGTACTGGGTTTGGGGGTGTCGGGGTCTGGAAACTGTGGGCTATCGGAGTAGGATCCCGGGCGCACTCCTGAACCTTATAATGCCCTTGTAGTACCCCCCAATTACAGTATATAACCCTTAAAACAACCCTTTAGGATCCACCCAAGCCACTCAGACTTGACTTTCGAAGCTTCTCAGCTGAGAAGTCTGCATAGAAGAATGCAGCGGGCAGACTCCCAGCTTACATTGTGAACGTCTGGTTTCAGGCACCTTCTGGGCATTTGACAATCTTGGGCTGCCTGGTTTACGGGTCCTTGGATCAAGGATCCTACCGATCTGGGTCGCAACGTGGGTTTGAATCCTTCCTGGTCCTGAGTTGCCCTGCGCCTTCGTGGACCAACTTGGGAGTTTCCGAAAATAGGGGACCCTAACATAGGACCCTAAATTGTAGGATCCTTATTATAAGGACCCCCCCAAATATGGTACCCCCAAATTTTCGGAAACTCCCACTTCAATTTGCCAAGGCTGTCTGCCAAGCAGATCGCTGGCGCATGGCACAACACCTAGTTCACCATGCAGCGAAGGACCCGATCTTCGCCTTACCAGACTTCAGAAGTGCGAGGAGGATTTCATAGCTGCGGCTTCTCAAAGAAATCTCTGAAATTTCAAGCTCTCCCACCCCAGAACATACCCTAAACCCTAACCCCCTAAACCCTAGAACCCAAGATTACACGCTGACACCTCCTATCCGATCCTTCAGCCCTGGAATTTCAGCCTCGGCAACACACCCCGAACTTCACATTCATAACAGCAGTGAGAAAGGAGCCCCCAACAAAAAACGGCTGGAGTATTTTTCCAACGATGGATTTCGGCCTCAGTGCAAATTTAGACTGTCCACCCCCGAGCTGGACGTACTCAGACCCCGGAAAAGAGTATATTGTCTTGGGACACACTGTCTTATGGTTAGGATCCCATAATCATGATCGACGGTAGCCAGATCAGAGACGGTAGCCAGATAAGACCCTAAATCCTAGACCTAGACCCTATAACATGCTAGGATCTCTGCAAGACTTTGCTGGAGGATGGCATGGGCCCCAACACCGCGGGCTTCAACACGCTCGTCTCGGGTCACTCGCCGGACGTCTGGGCCAAGGCGCCCTGGGGTATAAAGCCTAAGGAAATACATACAGCGCCGTAATACGTATGCGCCCTTAACCGTTTTGTTTGGATAGGTATCTGGGGCATGTTAAAATCAGATTACGATGGAAGGAACCTTACACTAGGATGCCCAGTAGTACCCTTATTCCCTTTTTGTAGTCCTAGGTTCCCTATAAAGTTACCTAATACCAAAAAGGGAGCCCTTTGTATTCCTAGGTTACTGGCCATAAGGGGCGCAGGCTTAGGATGTCAGGGAGATGGGAGCTCCTGATGTCAGTTCCCGTCACATGCTCCGTCTTCGATACAGCGGTCTGACTCAGTCGACACAATCTCCGCTTACACATTTCATGCACATATATATATATGTATATACACATACATACAGATATAGACATAGATATAGATATAGATAAACATAGCTATACCATAGTATGCCCTGAAACTCTACTCTGACCATAAAGGCCCCGAGACGGGGAGCAGGCCTACAAACCCGTACAAAATCTCAAATCACACAGCCCCGTTTAAGCTCTAAACCCTAAACTTCCTAGACTCTAAATCCCAAAACCTAACTCAACCAACCCAAAAGCCCTTAATCCTAATCTTCCTAAACCATTCAACCCTAAACTCAACACCCTGAACCCTAAACTCCACAAGCTCTAGACCCTATAGTGTCGCAGGCTGCTGCCACCTTTGCAGCCGCAGCAAAGCTTCAGGTTCAACCAAGCTGCTGGACCTAGTTGGCTCAAAAACAGGGAGTTCAGGTTTAGGGGTTTAGGTGTATAGGGCATTGGATTTAGGGTTGATGGTTTAGAGGTCTGCATTTAGGTCTAGAGTCTGCTAAAACACGGTGGAGGTCTGGGTGTTCCTCATGAACGTTGCTTGTTGCTTCTTTGTTGTTATCACATAGCAGAAGGTGTTGATCACGGCAAAAGCTATACTATGGGTCTAGGGGACTTTTCGAGTTAGGTTGTCGGCGTTGAGGGCTTTGCTCAAAAGGTTTGGGGTTCAGGCGATGCCTGGCGTCCTCAACGTGAGATGCGGGAGGAAAGAGCTTGTTGGGTGTCGGGTTTGCACTGTTAGGTTTTTAGGGGGTCGGGATGCCTGGTTTTGAAATCTGTGGTTGCACACTCCTTTTGGCATAGCTTGTTCTTGACGACTATGGTAGGTACCGCAAAGGGAAAGTTGCCCCCCGAAGCCTTAAACCGAAAGCCTCAAAGCCCAGACCCTCAAACCAATATTGCCGAAAAGCTCCTTAGACCACACGGTTAAACCCCGCTTCGGGTTTTGGGTGAAGGACCCCTCGTAGATCCTAAAACCCTGAGCCCCGAGCCCTGAACCTACACCCCTTTGGGGCCTGCAGCAGAAGCCAGAAAGTTGGAACATCATGAGCCTCATGCCCTTAGAGTAAAGTATAGCGAATCCCAGCATGAATCATCCTTAATCTATGTTCCAACTTTCTGGGGTTTACTATACTTCAGGCCTGAAGTCCTTTGGGGCAGCCGTGGCATCACAGCAGGCAGGTTTAGGGTTTAGGGTTTAGGGTGATTTGCTTTTCGGCTCGGGGCGTGGCATCGGGGTTCGGGGCTTACGATTCGCGGTGGGGGTTGTAGGTTGTTGCTGGGTTGCAGGGTTGGCTGCGAGGCCGAGAACAAAGAAGCCAACCGGAATACTGCAGCCCCGTCACGGCCATCTTCCCTTGTCCTAATGAAACCCTATAAACCCTAAAGCAGAAACCCAAAACCTAAACGCTTTTAAACTGGAAAATGAAAGTAATATTCGACAGTAAAGCTCCGCTTGAACATTTTGCATTAAGGAGTTCGAACGAATGTTCAAACCTTGCACTCCGAAATTCGAGAAACATCTTCAACCACACAAGAGGAAGAGAGCCAAACTTTCTTGAGGGGGTTGAAAGCAAAGAAACAGAAGTGACAAATGCCAGTTTTGGCAAATGTTTAAACTTCGAGCCAAGTTTTTCAACTCTGCATTCAAACTCTGGCCTGCTCGCACAGGAGTTCGAACTCTTTTTCATTGCACAAGATGTTTGATCAAGAGTTCGAACTCAGGGCATACATAGAGAGTAGTAGAAGCGCAGGTGTGGAAGTGTGTGAAGAATGTGCTGTGTACAAGTCTGTGCGTGGAACTGCACGCTGTGCGGATTTTTTCAGCTTCCATCTAAAGTGATCAGCGGGGCAACATGCAGCGAATATATATTCTACATTTAGGGGTATGTTATGGTATATTATGGTACACTAGGGACATATCATGGTACATCATGGCGTGCATTCCGGGTATAATATTATAGTATTATGGTACATTCGGGGTTTGTTTATAGTATATTATGGTAGGTTAGGGCTATATTACGGTATGTTATGGTACATCAGGGTATTTTATGCTACATGAGGCGTATATTCGGGTATATTATGGTACATTAGGGGTATATTATAATCATTAGGAGTATATCATGGTACCTTATGGTGCATGAGGGGTATATTATGGTACACTGCGGTATGTTACTGTTAATTATGGTATGGTATGGTATATTATGGTATATTATGGTATAGGCCAGGGGTGCTACAGTGTACAGTGCGCTCTGACATTCGACAAGCTTTCGGCTGCCATTCCCGGATAGCATTTGGTGCTCTAAAGATTTCTATGTTTAGCACCTGCTGTGCATTGGGCGGCTCGTGTCGCAATGACCCCTCACAACAGTTACGGCTATGTAGAGGCGCTGTCCGCGAGAATGGTGAAGTTTGAAGAGGAGGAAGTTGGCAAAGACGAGAGTTCCTATCCGCGAATCTTCAAGTTCCCAGACCCGATCCCGAAGGAAGAAATATTGACGGTGCACTTGGACGAGCACGGTGTTCATGGAAGCAGTCTAAGTGGTGAGGTGTTATTCCATATTCAGCGAGGTCGCCTGCCTGAGCTACTCACTGCCGGACTGCTCTTGGGACTGATCTCAGAGGAGACAGGTTGCGAGGCGGGAGTTCTCTTGCAGGGCTGCCGTGAGCTATCGATGTCCCACCCAATCAGTAGAAAAAAAGCTAAGAGACTAACACTTAAACGCAGAGACTGTCGACCCCTCTTGTGCCGAAAGATCGACTGTGATGACCTTCCCTCCCTCGGGGAAGCGGGGATAAAGCCAGACTTGCGCCACGTCTTCGAACCCATCCAGGCACTGAAGGAGTGGCGGACACGGGTGACCAGAGACAGACACGAGGGTACAGCTATTCGGGAGGAGAACTGGTTGGTGTATACCAAACGGGAAGTCGTGTCCTACGAAGCATCGAGCTATGAGCCGTTGAAGCCGTGCGGATATTTCCCTGAGGCACCTCTCTGGAAGCTCCCTGCAGGAACCAGGCGTTGGGGAGGGTCGCAAAGTGACGTTTGGAGTACCTGCCTGAAGCTCCCGGTGAAGCAGCTGTTGGACGAGCATGCAGCCTTAACTCTCGACAGACCGATACCACGCTATCAGATGATAGTAGATCCCAATAAGTTTGTCCACCAGACGAGTGATGGTCCTGTGTGGGTGCCGTGCGAGTTTGATATTTCTGCAGATGGCTCTCCGGCATTGGTGGGTGGTGAGCGAAGTCATGCAAATCCACACCTTGGTCAGCATGTTGCATGTCCGGTCCTCGCCGCAGCACTGCCCCTATTGGCGAAGTTGCGGCGACCGCAGCTTCTCCTGGATGATCGGCGGCTTCAAGTTGTCTTTAAGGCGCAGCGCATAATTGTTCCTGGAAATGTGGGTGACAAATCGGATGCCGAGTACGTCGGTCTCTGGCATGTCGATGGACACAGAGAAAATGTCGCTGCGGTAGTGTTGTACTACTACCATGTGGACCCTTCACTTCGCGGTGGTGACATGGAGTTCTGCGGCCGTGAGCCCATGGATGTTTTGGGCTCCGGTGACTGCAGCAACAACATCCGTGATTTGTCCTCGGAGTCTCTTCGGCAGGCTTTGCGAGGTGGAAGCAAGATGAGCTCTGAAGCAGTGCAGAACTGTCGGGTTCCAATTGGTGAGGGAACCCTCCTGGTGTTTTCGAACCATCAAATGGCGCACCGGGTTCTGAGGCTAAAAAACACCGGTTCCGCGGAGGCCTCGCGAGACTTTGTGGCACTCTTTGTCTTAGATCCCTCTGCGCCCGCCCTGCTACCCGCAAGAAGCATTCTGGCGGGGCCGCACTTGCTCAGACGGACCCTGGCTCCTGCAGAGATCCCAGCATTGGCCATCCAGAAGGTGCTGGAGTACCTGGGAGTCTCGCACACGGACGTCATGCTAAAGATGCAGCGCAACAAACTACTGTCGGAGCAACTGAAGCCATCCGGACAGTTTGCTAGCTTCGGCAATCTTTATGCGACTGGGAACGGATGCTACACCATGATTGGCTGGCTGCATGAGTTGCTCCAAAACGAAGACCAAACAGCTGGGGCCTCCTTGCGGGAGGTCAATTTGCGAGGCTTCCAGCGCCTCGAGGCGCTGAATCTCGTGCCGGAGGGCTCGGACCGGGGTCTCTCCGAGGTGCTGTCCCTGCCGACCGCAAAGCTGCAGGAAAGGCTCCGGGAGGTTGCATCGAGCTCTGAAGAGGGTGATTAGGGACCTAGTCGAGAGGCTTAAAGCCCGATGTTGTTTTTTTCACAGTGCACAGACGAGAAGAAACCGCGTCACTATGCAAGTCTATATACAGTGTACAGGCACGTCAGACTTTGGCTGGTGCTCCAAGCGGAGGGTGGAAGCATTGAGCGTATGGTGCCTTTGAGTCTCAGGACGCTCCCGTCCAGATCGACAGTATATGAGGGTTCCTTTCCAGTCAGGACGGAAGGATCAGCTCGTAATAATGCTTAGTTGATTTAGGTCAAGACCTCAGTGTTGTGGAGTCTGCATGATCTCAAAGACATAGTTTCGCAGCGGTGTGCCCATGGTGCTCGGTAGGTCTTCGCATTTTCTCCATGCGGTTGGATTTGTACAGCAGTTTAACGATTTGGGTTGGGTATGATATGGGATTGGGCCAAATCTTGTAGAGTTAAGCACTTCTGTTCTCTGTGCAACTTGAAAGTGCAAAATTGTTATGACTATTGAATGATGCATGCTGGTCGTCTCCAACAGTTGTTCAACAAGTTGTTACGATCGTTTTTGCATGTTGTTTCCGCAGTAAACAGTTTGTCTGCTTGCTTTCTGTAAAAATTATTGCCCGCTCAAATCACTTCCGTTGACACATATTCCAGTGTTACCTCTTTGGAGCTGTGTTTCTTCGCAACCAAACAGCCCATCAGCAAAGATCGACAGTTGCTGCAATCCTTCGAGGACTCCAAGTGGCGCTTCGCCTTGGCTGCCAAACTCGCCGAGGAGTCTCGGGTACTCAACCATGACCCTTAAGCCTAAACCTCGATGGGTAGTTTTCTTAAAGGTAGGGTCCAATCTTTTAGACGCCAAATACCTTTAAGCCTAATTTTAAATGCTTCGCCCTAAACCCTAAAGGTTCATGTTCTTTTGTTTGGTTTCGGTGCTTCTCGGTGTGCAAGGCAGCGACTCTAAGCCCTAAAGCCCTTGAAGCAGCTAAGCCCTGTGCTTGGAGTTTGGCTTCTGTTGTGTTGTTGGAGTTGAGGTATTCTTGGGGGGCAGGAGTTGCAGGGTGCTCCACCAGCAGAGCCACCTTAGACAATCATTTCCAGGCCAGATCTGTAAAGAGCAAGGACGTCGGGTGAAGCTCTTGAGGGTTTTGGCGCTTAGGGTTGGAAATTGGAGGTCTAGCTTGCATGCATGCAAGGATTCATGAATGGATGGATGGATGGATGGATGGATGGAAGTAAGCATGCAGGCATCTGGGTCCAGGTACGTGCGCACTCTTCCGAGGCCGAGCTGCAGCTGCCAGCCTTAGAATCCAAGAAATAGCTCCCTGGCAGCTGGAGACCTGCTCTGCCAAGCCCGAACCTGAAGCTTTGAAAAACTTGGGAAGGAGGGCTTCGTGATGAACGAAGTCATCTGCGGTTCACTGATCTCTGCAGCTGATTGGGCCAAGGCAAAGTGAGGATTTCGGGTAAGGCTTTGGAGAAGTTTTTATCTGTGGGGCTGAAGTGTAGCGGAATGCTCCGCAGCTTCAGAGGAAGAGTTGACATCGACACTTGTGCAGGATACCGATGTTCGGGCTCTACCAGCTCATAGACTCATAACCATCGTGGGCATGCGGTAGGAACCCCGTCTTTTATGAGTAGTCCGAGCGTGGATGGCATCATCCACGGCACATATAATAGCCTCATATAGCATGCAATCACGGCTTGTGCCAGAAGGCATAAACTATGGTGCACTTAGCGGATGTATCCATGCTCACAAAACAGAAAGGTTTGATTCAGAAGACCACGCAACGTTGCATCCACGAAAGACATATGTTTCGGGGCTCAACTTTTTGCGTTTTATCTTCGGCACTTCAAAGCCGTACGGAAGAAGGACTAAACCAAGCCGCAAGCGGCATGAAGCTCATGCCATAGACTCCCACATGTCCACGCCCGTGTGCAGGCTGTATGTCTCAAGGACCATCCTGAGTCCACCCCACATCCTATCCCGAAAGACCAGATGCCTCACTATCCTGGCCCTGGCTTACTACGTGTTTTTTGGATCACAAAGTCTAAAGTCTTGCGGCTTTGGGGCTTTGCCTCCGCATCTGAGCCAGGCGCTGGGCTTGGTTTATGCTGCGCGATCGGCGAAGCTTCGTCCAAATGCAAGGGCCTTTGGAGGGGCTCATCGTGGATTTTACATTGAGGCGAGGGCTCGGCTGGGTTTCACCCAGGTTCTGATTGAAAGGTTAATATCCCGGAACTATAGGAACTATAGTATGGTGACCGCAGTATAATCTGTTTACATTCATCTCGTCTACACTCATCTGGCAGACGGGTACGTAACCTTTAACTTTTGTGGGTTTGTAAAACCCTATCAGTTAGGAGTTTACGGTTTAGAAGTTTAGGGTGTTTAGGGTGTAGAGTATAGAAGTTTAGGGTTTAGGGATGAATCAACGAAGGCTTTGTGTAGAGGCAGATAGCTACCAAGGCAGGTTCAATTGGAGACAGGTCTACTTGTATGCTTTCATCATGGAGAACAGTATGAGTTGTGTTGGCACAGTCACAGACGAGCTCCGCTTGGACTCTTGTTTCCTGGGTCCTGGAGCTCTAGTTTAGTTTGCAAAGTGGTACAGCTGCTTGTTGCTTGTATGGGAGTTCCCGAGACAAGGCACTACATAGCTACCTGAATTGGAAGTCGCGTCAGCAGCATATATGAACTGCGAATGTAAGGAGCCATGAAAGCTCGGAAACAGCCTCCGGAAGGCTGACTTAGCACGAGCTGACGGCAACAAAACAACCCAGGGTTCGCAAGAAGCTAGCGCTTGCGTTGGGGCATGTGGTTTTTACACTTCACTGGCATTGCACCTATCATCTCTGTGCGAAGCCTTTCCGAATTCGGAGCGATTGGGATTTTTGGTTGCTTGGATAAACGGCCATCATCACGTGAGAGGGGATTTGCGGATAGCAAGGGGCCCTCATATAGGAGAAGCCGTCGGTGCAACAGTAGATACGTCCGAAAGACGCTGTGAATTACAAGAAACTTGTACAGACCCCTACAGTATCCTGCAGTAACCCCACAAAACTCTTTCAATCTACAAAAGGGTAGAAATCCCTAAAAGTCTTAGAACACAAGGCATAAATCTCTGTAACACCTGGTCTATAGAATCAAGTGCCCCTAAGCTTAAACCCTTTCAAATTCCAGAAAACTCCGCTTAATAAGACCCCTCAGAAAACTTTACCTGGCACCCCTCCCCCAACTTACAGAATATATAAATGTAATCATGAACACAGGACCAGAGAAGCAACCAAAACAAAAAGCAACCCTAAACCCCTAAACCCTAAACCCCTAAACCCCTAAACCCTAAACCCCTAAACCCTAAACCCTAAACAGACAAGCAAAGAACGCCATGCTCAGGTGATCATCCTCGGATCGGCACTCGTGGCTGCCGCGGAAGCCTGGGAACGAGCCCAGGAGTTCCTTCGGTGCCGTTTTTTTTTTGTGTGTTGTTTTTCCTTCGGCGATGGGTTTTGGTGTTGAGGCATTTTTGTGATTTATTGTTTTTAGGGTTTAGGGGTTTGGGGTTTAGGGTTGTTTTTTGTGGTTTCGGGGTTGAGAGGTTCAGTGTTGAAGGGCTCTTGGGCTTAGTGGTGTAAGTTTGGATTGTCGGGTTTCAGGTTTAGGCTTTAGCGGGTTCAGTGTGAGGGCTTAGAGGCTCTTGGATTCATGGTTCGCTGTTGAACTATGAAGTATTTCGTGCAATACTATTCCACCTGGGTGCTGATCTCAGTGCCGCTGCTGATGTTGCAGATGCTGCTGCTGCTGCTTCTGCTGCCGCCACTGCTGCGCCGTCACCGACAAGATTAGTCAGTGACCAGCCGTTTGAGGTCTTAGACAGCATCATCGTCATCATCATCATCATAAGTCGTCATACTTATCATCGGGGTCACCACCGTCAGTCACAGGAGCTTCTGCAGAACTCCCTTGTGTGGAAGCTGCCGGTTGACGAAGCAAGCTTTGAGGTGCACCGGGGTAGTTTTTGAAGAAGTGGCGGTCGGCATGTTTTCGTGGGTGTGGCATGCGCCGAGCTTCGACGTTCAGAATCTGTTGGTTCCCTCGCCTTGCAATGCCTTCGCACGTGGAAGCGGAGGATGCTACCGCGCGCTAAGATCCATGTTCGGCCAAAGCTGGAGGTTAGATCTCCAGTCCCACTTCACTAAACCCCATAATTTCACAAAGCTGTACACCCTAAACCCTATAATGCCCTATAACTAAGGATCCTGAGTAAAGGCAAAGAGCCTGAAAGAGGTCGTAGCTTCAAAGACAACAAGAAAACCTTGCCCACTGCTGCAGCACAAGCCCCTGATGGTCCATGTCCCGGTATAGTAAATTTCTTAGTCCAGGGCAGGGTACTTATGTAGGTACTTTATAGTCAAAGTATGTACTCCCTGGCTCCATGAGAGTATGGGGTTTCATACTGGTGTCCCCATAATCAAACCCCAAAATAACCCGCCGATATTCTTAAGGAGCCCTCTGTGTACCGTCACTTCACATGGACTTTTTGGGGAAAGCTGGAGGCGGCGATTTTGGCCCAAGGCCGCGGTCGAAGATGGGAAGCAGCTCTCCGTGGACAGGTCGGCAGCCGATCGATGTTGACCACACCTTCGGGTCATGTAGGGGCCTATTTTTTTGGAGAAGGGTTTGGGGGTATGTTATACTACAGTATTAATATCTATAATGAGGAACCCCGAAAACCCTTGTCTAATTATTAAAGCCCTTACATCAGGGTTGAGGTTTGAGGGAGTTCAGGGGTGACGATAAGGAGTTTAAGGGCTACCGTAAGTGTTTCTTGCAAGGAGGGGCCCACAATAGGATCATAGGATGGTGTACCCCCTCCCCCCAATCCCATTCTGCTTACGAAGGCCCCTGTATACAAAGCAGACTCTGAGTCAGAGTACAGAGAAAGACGGTAACAAGGTCGTGTCTTCAATTCCTGCTTGCCCAAAAAGTTGTGGCTAGTTGGTACCACACTTCGGGTTTAGGTGTTCGGCCTTATGTGTGTGTGTGTGTGTGTGCCTAGACCCTAGACACCCAGCTTACCCCCTAGATTCCTAGATCCCTCAACCCTATAAGCCCTAGACCCCAAACCCGAAAAGCCGGAGACCCGGCACCCGAAACGTAGACCAGACCCTAAACCACCTACATCAACTTCAACCCTAAAGGCCCGAAATTCCTAAATGGGTGGTTGTCAAAATTATGGTCCCTTTTTGGGTCCTTATTATAATACGGCACCTAATATTTAGGGTTCTTCAAAAGGGACCATAGTTTTGACAATTACCCTAAATCGCATGCTGCCCTAAAGCAGAGTCCACTCAGAAGTTCAGATCTCCATGACGACTCGACTCCGATCGGCTCAGAACGACCGCTGCACAGCTGAACCTGAAAAGCAACCCACATGTTCGGAGAAGCTTCAATAAAGAGGCCTCTGGTGTTAAGGTTATAGAGTTGATGGTCTCTAAAGCTGTAAAGCCTTGATAATCCGAAAGACTGCGTCCCAGCTAGCTTGTCGTTTGCAGAACAAGAACACACTCACTCTCAAGATGCAACAGGCCTGCGACAAGGCATTTGTCTACACCGAAATTGCTGTCTTCCTGAACTTCAACAAGAACTGCAAGCACGCTTCAGCCACTCTTGCTAGGGGATAGCTTCCAAATGGTACAGAAGTACTACAGTGCATCCAACTATCCAAGGAGTTCTTGGAGGACTTAGCCTCCCGGATGAGGCGCCTTATAGGGTTCCCTTAACGGGCGATCCAAAAATCTCTTATGCAGGTCCAGAGGCCCTAAACCCTAAAGCCTAGATCCTAAAGTCCGACATTCTAAACTGTAAGTAACAAGCCGAGCTATTTATCCGTCTTAGACAATTTTGCTTCGCACGGCCTTTAGCTGACCGTGTACCACCATGGCTGGAAGCGGCTGCCTCAGAGTATCCGGGTTCCAAGCATGTGCTGTAACCTCTACAGGCCACCTCTCTCTCTCTCTCTGTCTCTCTCTCTCTCTCTCCATTTCTCCTTCTCTTCCTCCATATGTATGTATGTATGTATGTATGTATGTGTATATATATATGTAAACATAAACAGACAAAGTCACAAACAAATACATATGTACACGTAAATGTGTGTGTATATATATATACACATACATATCTGGATAACATGTATATACAGATCGATAGTTAGGTAGATAGATGGATAGACCCCAAATTGCCAAGCCATAAAGACTGCTACGGCCTGAAAGCAAGCCGAAGGAGCCTCACGACCTCAAGCCCTGCGGCCCTATTAAAAGGCCTAAACATCCTCCCAAACGTAAGCTTGACGATTTAGAGTTCTGACGTTTTAGGAAAGTTTAGTTTAGGGCCTAGGGGTCCCCAAACATCGCATTCAACAGAATATGCAAAGCCCAGCGCTATTCTAATCCCTAGCATAACTGTCGGCTCGCCGCCACAAGGCCGAATATCACCGGACGATTTGGAGACGGCATCGACGGCCGAACTGATCTCCGAGCTGAAAAGGAGGCAAGCAGTTTGAGAGGTTTAGGGGGTTCCAGGATTATAGGACTTAGGGTTTTCGGGTTTGGGACTTTGGGGAGTTGCAAGTTTTGGGGTTATGAGGTTTAGTGGATAAGGATGTAAATCAGCTCCGATGCTCTGATGTCTTGAATCATGTCCCTTGTTGGGGGAGTACACGAGCAGTGATATGTCTGTACGTTTATAGGCATAAGCATTCGGCTCTTTCCTCAGCTTGTCAGAAGAATCAGCGAGCATCACGAGCCTCGGGCCAGCCTCATAGCCTCATGTTTTGCACACTTATGCAAGTGTGAGCCGGCAAGATACGCCCTAAACGCTTGCACTGAAAAAACCCTAAACCCCTAAACCCTAAACCCTATATAACTTAATTGACTGTGCATCATGTCCTAGGTTTGCCCGTCGATATATGGACGAGGATGATGAAGTATCTGCAGGTCTGAATGAGGGCGGGTCCGCTAGTGTGGAGTTCACATTGAACACTGGCTGATGATACGCATAAGTAAACCCCCAAACCCTAAACCTAACGGTGGACGCATCATGCAGTGTTGAGCGAGTTTTCGGTCGGGCACCGCTGCCAAGAGCTCGGAGCTCTCCTGAACCCGAGTGCTGAGAATCTTGGAACTGAATAGCTCATTTGTCTAAGGCTCCACGCCACGTACTTATATCCCAAGGGCGTACCATGAACTGGACCCGGTCGACTGAAGCCCACCCCTATATACCCTGCCACCTATTTCGCCAAAACCCTAAACCCTAAAATCCGTAAACCCAGAGAGAAGCTTGAACCCTAAACCACAAACTATCTGCCGCCAGGCATCACGTGCTCAACCGAAAGCCGGCCAATGTGGCAGTTGTGGGGCCACCATGCATCGGAAACTTGCGCATTTTGGGGGGTCCTTCTGTCTTATAACAGGGGGTCCATATGTAAAGTATGTAACCGATCCCTACCATTTTGGGAGAAGGCTCAAGGTTTAGGGTTTCGGGTTTGGGGCCAAGCTTTAGGGTTGACAGCCTAGGGGCTAGGTTTGAGGGCTTAGGGGCTGAGGTTTTGGGGTTTGGGGATCCGGGTCGGTCTGGGGTTGCGGCTGTTGGACTGCTGCTTTACACAAGACCCCCCCGGAGCTGCGGACCCACCTCCACGTTCTCGGCCAAGACCTCCTATCTCTTAGCTATGATAAGGCCTGATCCCTCGAGCCCTAACCAACCTTCAACCCCATAAGACCTAGCCTTGTAAGGACTTGGAGAAGGAAATCATAATGGGAGCCCGCAAAAACTAGGTTTCAATAGGATCCAGGTAAACCCTAAACCCTAAACCCCTATACACTACACTTTTTAAATAACAAAACCTATAGAAACCCTAAGCCGTAAACTTTCAACCCCAAACCTCAGGAAAGCACACGCAATCGGATGCCGTTCGCCGGGCCTTTGGAATCTGCCGGATTACTGCTCAAGAACTGCAAGGCTGCACCGGCTGCAGGGTGTTTGGGCTTAGGGTTTAGGCTTTTGGGCTTTTTTGGCTTTGGGTTTGTGGTCTTGGGATTTTGGGGCTTCGGGTGTGTTAGCATTCTAGGCCTAATCCCTAAACTTTAGCCCTAAACTGCAAAAAGCGTATGAACCTCCAGAGCCGGTATGATTCCGAGCTGAGTTCAGTGGAGGCCGAGAGCAGCGAGCTTCAACCCCCGGCATCTGCAACCCGAAGCCCCTAATGTAGAGGCCTTAATGATGAGAATAAGGTTTAGGGGTATAGTAGATTGAAACTATAATAAGGAGCCACCTAGACCTTGGAAGCACTGGGATACATAGATTTATTCCAGTATGGGAAAGGGTTTGGAGTTTCAGGGTTTGGGGTTTAGGTTTAGCGCTTTATGCTATCACGCACCCCGCAACCCTAATTAGAAAGGCGCGGCATTCGGGTCTAAATGGCTATAGGATTTCCCCCTCATGAGAGGTTCTTCAAGCTCGGGAAGTTCGGACGACCGCGCGATGCAGCCTGGTGTCAAATCGTAGCTTGGGTATAGCTGTATGGAGGCTAGAGGATAAAGTAAGGGGTTTAGGGTTTGGGGGGTTTGGGGGTTAGGGTTTGGGGTTGAGGGTTCAGCGGGTTTGCGGGATGAGGATTCAGGGAAGCAGTCGAAAGGATCGTTTGGTTCTAACTTGAGGCTTAGGGAATGCCGTCAGTGTAGCTAGCAATGGGCCTCAGCTCCATCTATTCTGAGTTGGCACCCTGGACTAGAGTCCGCAACTCAAGCTTGATACATCCCGGCAGTCACGTGCACTCTCAGGCATCCACATGCATACTTCGATCAAGGGTTCGAGCAAGCAGTTTGGTTGTCGGCAAATGCTTGGCGATGAGGCCTTTGAACCCCGCGGGCGAAGCCCTACACCGCTAAGCCCCTAACCTAAACCCATAAACCGGAAGCCCTAAACCCATAAACCCCCGACCCTCAACCCTTAGACCCTCAAACCCCAAACTAAACCCTAATTAAACCCATAAACCTCAAGCCGTTAAGCCCCAAACCAAGCCTGCAGCAAGGTCTGCTCTTTCTGAGCTCATCGCACGACCCCAATGTCGAAGAGGTTTCGTTCTGGACGGCTTCCCTCGGACCGTGCCGCAGGCCAGGATGTTGGGAGGCTCAGGTTTTAGGGTTCAGGGTTCAGGGCTCACAGGGTTTAGGGTTTTTAGGCATCAGGGTTGAACGAGTTCAGGGCTTCGTGTGGCGTGTTTTTCGGGGTCTTAGGGTTGAGGGTTTGGGCTTGAAGCTTAAAACTCCCCGTGGCGCAGTGATCCTGGCCACATTGCCGTGTGAGTCTAGCATCCGGAAGCAATCTTCGCAGGCCAAGATGAGTAAAGGGGTTACCCAAAGGCCCCAAAGTAGTTCCTTTTCGGGGTTCATATATAGAATCTTAGAAGGTAATAGCGAAAAGGAACTGCTTTGGGGCCTATGGGTAAGGATCTGGAGTTTGGGAGGCAGTTGACATCAGAATGTCCTGGGAGAGTATCTGTGCAGAGCTAGCTAGCTGAGACCGATGTCTGAGCCCTGAGACCAAAGCC